ATTTTAACAAGAATCACGAAATACATAGCAAAAGCATCAGATGAGATGTGGCAGCAATATACAGAGCATGGGTGAATGGTTGACTTATAAATATGTAAGACAGATTCTGGCAAGAAAAATTGTCTAGTACAACACAGTGAACCAACTTTTCTAACAAAAGACCCAGCAATTGATTCAATATAATCTTTCACTTCATGTCAGCAGGAAACATTAGTTCAGGAAGGCAGAATGACTCAAATTCCAGGTGGTTAGCATCAGCCATACTGATGGAAGGCAGAAAAGATAAAACTTACAGAGCATGTTCCTAATGTTTGTCATTTGTTTTTTCTCTTCAGATCATCAGTCATTGTTTTTATCTTGCACTGAAATTGGAGCTAAAAGCCTGAAGTGCTTCGGCAGCATAGCCTTATTTTCGTTTGTCAGGGACAAGTTTATTTCATTTACCATTCCAATGGGTTTTGAGAACCATTTTTAACTTTTAGTTGTTCTAATTCCAATTCATGTTCAAACTAACACCTCTGCACAACAGTTACAAGAGCTTAAGTTAGAATATTAACCATTAAGGTCTCTGCCAACTGTTCTTTTTTCAGTCATATCTTTTAAATTATTTTTAAAATAAAAAAGAAAGAAGGCATGTTACACAACTAAAATATCATTTTGAATTGAGTACCTCAAGAGCCACTCAAGTTAGAGTGTTACTTTGTGGTGTTGTTTGAGCATAAAAAAAGGCAAGAAGCAAAGTTCAAGAGGTTATGCAGGTAAGAAAAGGGTTAACCCTAGACTTGAAGAAGATTGTAGTGATCAGGGAAAACATTCTGCTAGGAGTAAGTTCCACAAAACAGCAGTTCTTTGGAAGATGTTACCCAAGTGGAACTTCTTACTAACGGAATACAAAGGAATGGGGATGATTCACCATTGTGTATGTGGCACAGTGGATCCCAAAGAAAAGCTGGTAGGGCTATGAAATCTAGCTCATTACAACACATGCCATGGAAATAGTGATAGAGTAGAAAGAGAATTGTGTTTTTTTTGTCTGTGAGGAAAGGGGTTGTAATGTAGAATATAATTCTATCTGGACTATGCAAGTGAGGACTGAGTGATTCCAGCCCAGATATAGTAGCAATACTCCATTTTTGGTATGATCTGGCTCTTGTAAAGAGAGGGTATAGCAAGGGGAGTCAGATACTGACTAAAGCAGTTCAAAGAATCAACCATTTTTCCAACAACTTTAGCAGTAGATTGTATATATGAGTGTCATATGGGATTTGGGGTGTGCCACTTGGGCAAGGTCAAAGTAGATATGAAATGCACCTTTAAACTGTTGTAAAATCTGCATATATTGTATGTATGAGTGTCATTTGGGATTTGTGGTGAGCTACTTGGGCAGGGTCACAGTAGAGATGAAATGCACCTTTAAACTGTTGTTTAAACTTGCATAAATACTAAGTATCAGAGTATATTCTTAGGCGGGTCCTTAATATTCAGTAGAAAGAACATATAGCACAGAAGTGAGAACACTGAGGAATAGCAGCATTGATCTTATGCACTTCTGATCATTGGTCACCAACAATGATTTTCAGTGACCTACCTGTTAGGAAGAACTTGATAATTTAGAAAGCCCTTCCAGAGATTCCAAACTAGAGATGAATAGGTGTCAATATTCTTGTATTATTTCAAACTATTCTTCTCATCTTGTTTGATATACAATGTTATTGTAAATACCTTTCAACCAAGTACACTCTAGTCATCATCAGATGTCCATTGATTGACTGATATGGAATATCTTTGATCAGGTAGTGAAGTCCCAATTCAGCAGGAATGAATAATAACTGACAACAAACTTTAGAATAAAATGAACTGACTCAAAGGTATAAAATAAATAATACATTTTTATTTGAGAGTGACAAGTGAGTCCTTTGGTATTCAATGTATCAAAATCTTTGTTTATAAGGTGGATATTGTCCAGGGCTGGTAGTTTTGAAATCAGAAATAGGTTAGTTTCAATCTACTATATTTTTCTCTACCCTCAGCAGGGCAGAAATATCATTAGTAGAATACCTCTTAACTACTTCTTCACTCGTCACTCATGTTTCTCTACAGTAGCATCTTTTGTCATCACTCTCATCATCCCTTCTTCTTCTATCTCAGAGGTGTCAGTTTCTATCCTTTTGACCAGACTCTAAGACTCTGGTGTGAACATTGGTTTCGACTAACATCAAAAGTCTCTTTGTGTCAATTTTTTTTTGATCAGCCAATTTTTTTTTTCTGACATTCCTTTCTTCTTCATATTTTTTTTTTTATAACAGAAGTTATACGTGAAGCCTTCCTGATTTTTGGTATTTTTCAATCACAAATAAGTAGACTGTGATCCAGCAAATTTCCGGTGTTTTTAGCTGGGTTCAGTCTTTCCTTCTCCAACTTATTATTTCAGGGTTGACTTACTTGAGAGAAGAGTATGTAGAAAGAAGTTGAGAGAGAGAAAAAAAGTGATAAGGCTTTTAAAAGAAAGCTCAAATGTATTATTTTAATTTGAATCCTTTTTATTATTTACTGTAAGGAAAGTTGGCTCCCTGTGCTGCGCCAGGAAATTTTTCTCCCCGGAATCGATCCTCCAGATCTACAAATCAACAATTCGCCCTTGCATGGAGTATTGCTGCCATATATGGTCTGGAGCCCCTTCTGTTTGCCTCGAGGTTCTTGATAGGCTCCAGAGGCAGATATGCAATATAATTGGCCCTGATCTGGCATCTCGTCTACAGTCACTTTCTCACAGACGCGTCATTGCCTATGTCTGTCTGTCTGTTTTACAAATACCTTCATGGCAATTGCTCCGAGGAGCTGCATTTACTGGTTTCCAGACTTCATGAGTTCAAGCACCCTACGAGGCTGGCATCCCGCTCTCACCCTTTCACTGTAGAAACTATTAAATGTAGCTGATTCTTCTACTCCAATAGCTTCATATCTCACACCTCTTGCCTGTGGAACTCCCTTCCCTATTCCAGTTTCCCTGAGAGCTATAATCTTCAGCTATTCAAATGTAATGTCAATCGACATCTCCAGTTGCCTTGATCTATCCACTACCCTTCTCCTCATCCTTTCTTCTATCACTCCTATCTGATCTTGCTCCAAATTTTCTGTAACCCCTTGCATCCTAGTGGCTTCCTGCCTTGCTTGGGGTGAAACACTTAAAATTATTATATTTTATTTTTATCAGTACTCACTACACATTATTATTTTATTAAGAATTTTACTCCATCTTATAATTATTGCTTTTTTTATCCCAACCTTCTTCAACAGCAAAAGCCTGAAATCAGAAATAGAAACTCAGCTTCTGACAAGAGACCTCAGTAGTCGGTCTTTCTCTTATAGTTGAGAAATATTTATATAGAGGCTGCGATGGATAAATTGTTGTCTAAATTACAAAAAATGAAAAATAACACTGATATCTCATTTTAAGATATATTTAACTAAATTACACAAAAATATCCTGAAATACTAAAGAGTAAATTTATTCAGTAAAATTGCCACTGGCTTCAACAATGGCCTCGAAACATCTTTGGAATCTCCTGCAACTCTTCTGGACAGTCTCCTTGTTTAAGTTGGTGAATGCTGCCATGATCCTTGCCTTCAGTTAATCTTTGGTGTTACAAGGAATTTTATTGCTCTCTCACTCAACACATAATAATCAAGGGGGTTGTAGTTTGGGGAGTTAGGTGGCCAGATGTAAGGGGTGATGCGGTCACAGAAATTGTCTGACAGCCACGATTGGGTTCTCTTGCTTGTGTGGCATGGTGCAGAGTCCTGTTGCCAGACATAGGGTCTTCCAGCAGGCACCACCTTGATCCAGAGCAGGACTACCTCCTCAAGGCACTTGATCTACGCCTCCATGTTGAGCCTGAGCCCCTATGGGAAAATGAATGGAGGCCTAACATCACCATCACTAGTGATCACTCCAAACACCTTCATAATCACCATTAGACTCAACCAACTCTTTCCAAATCCTCTGAACTATCCTCAGATTGACACCCAAACACTCTGAAATGTTCATATTGGAGCTTGTGGTGTGAATGCGAAGCAGTACAGCATGCTGTTTCCAAATTTCTGGTGGAGTAAATGTAGTTTGAAAAAAAAAAAAACTTACCTCATGGCCGTCCATACATAAAAAGAATCTTGTGGGGAAGCCATATTGTTTTTATGCTGACAAATTAATGCAAAATCATGGCAACCACAAGATTTGAGAAAATATAAATATGCAGTATACGAAAGACAGGGAAAAATTTAGTCTACAAACAACCAGACAATACAACAAATAATACATCTACAGTACCCTCTTGACCCAGGGCAGGACTACCCCAGCAAAGCACTTGATCTAGGCCTCTGTGTTGAGTGTGAGGCCCTCTCCAATAAATTTGGTAGTTCTCATCAGAACGATTAGAGTGAGTTTTCCGAGGTACCATACCTATGTAATCACCAATGGACTCATCCAACCCTTTCCAAATCCTCTGCACTGTCCTTGATCTCTCATTCTAAACCGATATGCACTACACTAGTTTGAAAAAAAAAAAAAACTTACCTCATGGACGTCACTACGTAAAAAGAATCTCATGGGGAAGCCATATTGTTTTTATGCTGACAAATTAACTCAAAATCATAGTGACCACAAAATTTGAAAAAATATAAATATGCAATGTATGAAAGATGGTGGGGGAGCGAGAAAAGGAAGTTAATCTACAAATGACCAGACAATACGACAAATACATCTACACTTTGTCACTCAGGTTTAGCACCTAATAAGGAATTTAGGCCAGTCTCTCGAATTTAAACTAGTGAATTGTGTCATAGCGCTCTTTTTCTCACAGACTGTACCCAACTGACCCAACCATACAGTGCAGTCGACAAAATCAGATACAAGCAACACACATGCATGAAATTAAAAACGTAAAATGGTGACAATTTATTCAATGCAGCCTGAAATTGGTGAGTAATATGAAATTACTTACCCCTTTTAATGTTGCATACACAGGTACGGTGACCTCCTTGTACAAATCATTGCATGTTGGGAAGTCTGACGGAAATGTCGTAGGAACATTGGCCGATGATTTTTTGTCTTCGAAGGAAAAAAAATAAACATAAAACAGGTTTTAATATTAAAAAAGAAATCATGATAAAATCTCATTTTAATAAAACAAAGTGAAAAAAAGAAAAAAATAATACCACAAGTAAGACTTGAACCAGCACCCTAACTAGAAACTGCTTTTACACCACAACGCTGAAAAGAACTTAACCAATGAGTTATAATCATATAAAATACTTGTGTTATTACAAACACTCTGATCCTAAATGCAGTCACTAATGCCACAGAGTGAAAATGGGAAATGTTTTTTGATTATGCCGATTTGCTTGTTAGGACTGATATAATCTGATACTTTAATTATCAAATTAGATCGGGAAAAAAATTTGCTCAAAATTGATTTCCTTATAAATCTGCTTTTAATAATATATATCAGGTAGATGCAAGACTTTCTAACAACTTTTAGTCACACAAATTGATAATGTTATATTAAGTGTATGGTAGCAAGAGAAAGGAATAACGAGAATTAGAGTGAAACAATGTTTATTGTTGGTAGAGAGTACAGGAATAACGATCGCCTGTACACAGTGTCAGGAGCTGAACTATTTCTTATACTGGCATGACTGAGGTCACGGGATACAGTTGGTGTATGTTTGGTTGATGGAGGTCACTAATGTAGGCTGTCTTGTCGGTTGGTCAACCAGTTGTGTTGAAACTAGGTGGTGTTGGATTGGCATGGTAGCCCTGTTCTGTGGAATGGAGGTTGCTGTGTCGACTGTGAATGGAGTGCCTTGGAAATGAGTCGAGGTGGGCTGAAGTGACGGCAGGTGTTAAGAAGCCAGTTCTGTGGGTCACTGCATTGACTGTAAAGGGAATGCTTTGCAAATGAGTCGAGATAGGCCAAGGTGATGGCAGGTGTTGGAAAGCTAGTTCTGTGGAACAGAGGTCACTGCGTTGATTGTGAAGGGAATGACTTGTAAACAAGTCGAGGCAGAGCTGTTTTGAGTTGAAACTGGTTAGCTGAGGTGGTAAGTCAAACCAAGAAGTGGTAACAGTCGTTGAGATGCGTCGTCATGTTGAATGGTGGCAGTGAAGGCAACAACAATAGTGGTAGTAGTGTTTGGATGGTGTCCGGTCCACAATTCTGTCATCATGGTGATGAGGTCATGACAGCAGTAGCAGCAGCACTCTGCATGATGGCAAGCAGCCATGACTGTATCTGGTCATCCTCAGAGCCTGCTTTTAAGGGTGTATCTTTTACTGGCTGGAACGTTTGCGATTGGCTAACGCCAGAGTTCATTTTGTAGACTGGACATGATGCGTAGAGCCCAATGCACAGAAACCAATTTTTGTTATTTCGTCTTCTGCCTTTGTGGTAGTCACATCAGAATGAGATCTAATTGCGATGGAGTATAACACAAATTCATAGCATCATTATTCAGCCATTTATGTATTTTCTCTGTCTTTCTTTGACTGTACAGATCCTCCTAAAACAATGATTCATGCTTCCAGCATTTTTTTAAGAAACCTGAACTAGAACTGCTGACCAACCTCGAAACAGTAACAGTGAGATTAGTCATCTTCATACAGAAAACATTTAGCATTCTTTAACTGAACAGCTAGTGTTACTGCCAATTTAAATTTATAAAATCTTTCTCTCAAAGCAGTTTTTTTTTTCTTCAGTGCAGTTTTTTCAAGAAATTAGACTTCAGAAGCCCACTGTTATTGCTCTTTTCTAGTCTTGTGAAAAACCACAATGAATGGAGAAGTAGGAAGCATGCTGCCTTGAGGGACTATTGGGCCTTAAATTCACATCTGACCTCAAGTGAAACATCTACATATGAGCAGGAAAAACATCAGGTTCTGTGTACCATTACAGCAACCTCTTTCTCAGAGACAGGATATAGTAAGCCTCTCACAGCTCTATCATTAGGACTCGCCATGCCATGCACATTGTAGTCAACCACCAACATTTCTTTTGTATTCCATTAATGAGAAGTAAGTCCATTTGAACAGTTTCTTCCTGCAAACCACTGCTCTGTGGAATTGACTTCCAAGGCGATGTTTCCCCAATCACTACAATCTTAACCTTTTCAAGTCTAGAGTTAACCATTACCTTCCCCTCCTATCCACATAAACTGCCTCTTACTCTGTAACCCTCTACCTTGGGTGGCCTCCGGGCCTTGTAGAAGGTGAACTTCACTGTAAAAAAAAAAATTTCCTTTCAAGTCATTTAAGTTTGGATGGAAAGTTAACAGCTTGATTAAATCATTATTTTCTTTTCTAGTTACATGTGCTCCCCCCCACCATTGAGGCTACCATCCATCAACATCGCGTTCGCTGGGTGGGTCATGTATCCAGAATGCATCCCACTTGATTCCCACGTATCATCCTGTTTGGAGAACTTGTCAGCAGCAAGAGGCTATGTGGAGTCCCAAAACAATGCTTCAAGAATCATTTGAAGACATCCCTCACATGGGCCAACATCAACCCTGAGACCTGGAAAACTGTTGCTGCAAATTGGCTTTCCTGTCATAGGACCATCCAAGGGGAGACTGAGACTTTTGTATCCAACTGTCAACATGAAGAGGCTCTGCAACGTGCTGTCAGGAGGGCCAGGCTCGTCTAGCCGCTTCCACCTACCACACACCTGTTACTGCTGCTCAGGACTCTTCAAGATTAGGCTGGGCATTCACAACCATCTCCACCACTGCCACCAGAGAGGAGAAAAGAAATAAAAAGAGAGGATGAAGAGCCAAATATTCGGATGTGAGTGGATGACAATGACATCCAAATGTACGTCCAGGTCTGATGACATTATTTAAGAATATCACTCGTTTTTAGGTCATTATTTTGGTTTTACACTGGCTTATGACATTGAAAAAAAGTAGCTCTTGTGCAACTTATCCCATGTTTGATTTGAAGTGCTCACAGTTTATCAATTCTACACTGCATGGAGAGAAACATGATAGTTGGAAGATGTTCAATATGCTACATGTTTCAGACTTTCCTATTGCAATATGCTACATGTTTAAAAAAACCTTACTGTTACAATAATTGTTTACTGCTTTACATTTACAACATGAGAACAAGACTTGCCATGCAGAAACATCAATTATTGACTATTTTCATAGTCAGAACAAAAGAAAAAAAATCTGTATTACCTGGAGATGAGGTTTTTCTGTTTTTATGTTTGGCGCCCTTCCACACTTCTTCATAGAGAGGTTCCGTCTGAAAAGAACAGCAATGAAAAAATTAGTCAAAACCAATATTTTACATTTGTTTTTTTCAAGTCATCACAGTCTTAAGTTGTCAGAATTTCTGAGATGAAGCATAGTCAGTTAGTATTCATTTTTGACTAGTTTTTCTTTCATCTTATTTCTCTTGCTTTTAAACCAATAGTAATAGTCTTATATTGTTAGTATTGATTTAATAGAACTATTATTATTGATCTTCTGGTATCAAGTGAAATATAAAATCAACAAAAATGAAAAAAGAAGAAAAATATATAAGAGCAGAAATAACAGTCTTTGAATGAAACAGTTTTAAACAGGAACCATTTTGCCCCTTGGGAAAGAATCTGAAATCCCAGGAAAGGAATTTTAGCCATCAAAAGAATCAATTTCAAATCAATACTAACAACTTAAGATTATTATTACTTGGTATAAAAGCAAGAGAAATATGATCTGAGAAATCCTAATCAGTTCAGTTCCTGTCAGGAGACACATTTTCTTTAATAGGTTTTCTCAAATGTGAAGTCTGGTCAATGAAATAAAATATGATTTAAAATAAACAGAACATTGACTCAATTACAGGGATTCACTAAATATAACATTTCAAGTAATAAAAATATGTTGGATTAAAAAATAAATCCATTAATTCTTTAGAAATATACAGTGAGTAACCTACAAATAAGTTTATTTCTTCTTCTATGTGCCATTTTTTCTTCAGGACATGGCTCTCCACAATTTCCTCACCTTTGTAGCTCTTAGTAAAATTTGTTCTTTTGCAATCTCTCCTAATCCCTGTTATGCCAACCATTTACACAAGCTCATTCTTCTTCTATGTCTCATGACCTTTCACGGCATGGAAGACCATGGCTCTCCACAATTTCCTCTCCTTTGTAGCTCTTAGTAAAATTTGTCCTTTTGCTATCTCTCCTAATCCCTGTTCTGCCAACCATTTACACAAGCTCCTTCTTCTTCTATGTCTCATGACCTTTCACGGCATGGAAGACCATGGCTCTCCACAATGTCCTTTCCTTTGTAGCTCTTAGTAAAATTTTGTCTTTTCACTATCTCTCCTAATCCCTGTCCTGCCAACCATTTACACAACCTCATTAGTGAGATTATACACTGTTTAACTCTCTCCCTCTTGCCTTCAACATGCCCTATGGGTATCAGATTTTCCAAACCCTCTTTCTTCATTATTTGCCCTCTAGGGTCACAAATTCCTGTAAGGGTCACAAAGCACTGCTTGTGACCCACCAGTTGGGATTGTACACACTAACCCAAAGCCAGTGTATGCTGTCCAAAATTTTGAATTTATATATTTATTTTAATCTGCAAATTTTAAATGAGCCTAAAAGAGGATTTTGGAGAATGTGACACGTGCAGGATAGATTAAAGGCAAGAGGGAAAGAAGGAAACAGCACATAACCTACCGAATGAAATTGTGTAAATGGTTGGCAGAACAGGAATTAGTAGGGGTAGTAAAAAGAGAAAATTTATTAAGAGCTAGAAAAGACAGGAAATTGTGGAGAGCCATGATCGTCTACATCCTGAAGAAGAATTATGTCTGATTGGGGTAATCAAAACATTTGTATTACATTAGAAATTCTTTTTGTTCTTCCAACCTCATGGGGGCTGGAGTCAGCTTCCATGGTCTACCGGATCACATCTGTTGACATCTAATTTTTCTACTTTTCTTACAGTATTGTATAATTTTGGTAACAGTATTGTTGCTTAACATCAATCTAATAACTACTTCTTGTCTGCCATTGTTCTCTTTGTTCAAATAAATAATACTTTCCTTAGAATTAGGAGAAAGTTCTTTTCCACTTGGTTCCATTCCTAACATTAATATCTATACATTAATTGTGTACTCTGTTAATATTAAACGACAGATTGTGTACTCTGTTAGTATTCAAATTTATATACCCCTGCACTTCAAAATGATGTTTGAAAATGTACTTACTATTTATTTATTTTTAAGTGCCATATCCTTCTGTTTCAGAACATGGGTAATCATGGCTCTTCTCATCTTCCTGTCTTTTGTTATCCTATGTAACTCTTGCTCCTTTAGCATCCCTCTTTGCCATCCTTGTTCTGCCATCCATTCACACAAACTCATTAAGTAGATGATCATGGCTCTCCACATCTTCCTATTGTCACTCTATGTATCTTCTGATACTTAACTATCATGCTTTTTGTTCTGCCATCCATTCACACAAACTCATTAAGTAGATGATCATGGCTCTCCACATCTTCCTGTCTTTCGTTACTCTATGTATCTTCTGACACTTAACTATCATGCTTTTTGTTCTGCCATCCATTCACACAAACTCATTAAGTACATGATCATGGCTCTCCACATCTTCCTGTCTTTTGTTACTCTATGTATCTTCTGACACTTAACTATCATGCTTTTTGTTCTGCCATCCATTCACACAAACTCATTAAGTAGATGATCATGGCTCTCCACATCTTCCTGTCTTTTGTTACTCTATGTATCTTCTGACACTTAACTATCATGCTTTGTCCTTGTTCTGCCATCCTTTCGCACAAACTCATTAAGTAGATGATCACTTCTTGTCTCTTTCTTATCTATAGAGTAACAAAAGATAGGAAAATGTGGAGAGCCATTTTTTTGATACTGATTCATTTCTGGAAGGCATCTTTCACTGTGTCACATCTTTCATCATCTGTTACAACACTTATATCAGCCCTCTAATATGGGAGTAAATGCTGGACAATCACCTCATAGATAAAAAATAGTCTAGAGGAAACAGAAATGTGGTTCTACAGGAGGATGCTGAGGATACCATGGACCGAACACATGAGCAACAAAGTTTTAGAGAAAATGGAAACAAAAAAGAAACTTATACATAACAACATGAAGAGACAGTTAAGATTTATAGAACACATAATGAGGAAAGAGGGCTTGGCAAATTTGACACTCTCTGGACAGATTGAAGGCAAGAGAGACAGAGGAAAACAATGCATAACCCCTGCCTAATGAGCTTTTGTAGATGGATGACTGAACAGGGTTTAGCAGAGATAACAAAAAGACAAAATTTACAAAGAGCTACAAAGGACAGGAAATTGTGGAGAGCCATGATCCTGAAGGACATGGCACAAAAGAAGTTACAACATAAGAGATAGTTGTTTTCTGTAACGACTTGCTTTTGACATTCTCAATTTATAGCACACATCTTGTAATGACATTTTTGCTGATAACCATTTACTTCTTATTCTTAATAATGCTTTCTTCTTGCAGTTTTATCTAAGAGTTCTTTTACATTTTTACTTCTGCCATCAATGAATTGTCATCCATGTATCTTGTGTTGCTAAGATTATAGCCACCAATAATAAATCCTGTTAAGTCTTCTATTAGGGGTGCTTTGCTGCTTAGATGAAATAAATCCAGTGATAAAATGCATCCTTGCTTAAATCCTCTATTTGCATTTCTATCTGTTACCAGTAAAGCTAACGGATTCTTTGAATATCTTTTCTATGTAAATCAAATGTTTTTCATATTTCAAGTAACATTTTGTTGTGATTTTGTGTAATTTATGAAACATATGGTGAATCATTTTGCCTTTGTATTGATCACACTTACTACAAATAAAGAAATTAACTTTTTTTGCAGGTGTGTATTTATTTTCAGACTGATACATATCCATATTTGGAGTAATGGTGTTTTAATGTTGCAATGTTTCATAATAAATAGCACCTACCAATGCCTGCTATGATTGGGTAATATGCCTTTGATCCAGCAAGCGAAGCAGTTCTCCTCGAAATGACCATCCAAACTATCAAAGTCATATCATCTGACCAGTCTCTAAAGAAGCACGTCTACCTCTCTAGGGGAGAAAACCTGCTTACAGGAGACTCTTTTTCCATTTCTTTTGAAGACCATATCTAGGTCAGACGTGGTCGATCATGGCTCTCCACAACTTCATAACTGCTGTAGCTCTAAGCAATTTTTGAACACTTACTATCCTCCTAATTCAATTCAACTAGAATTTTCTTTACTAATATTCTCCTAATACAACGCCCAAGAGCCACTCAAGGTAGAGGGTTACTGTATAGAGTTGTATTAACATAAAAAAGAAGTGTTAGGAGTATGTTAGATTAAAAAAACATTAATATTTTATTAAAAAATTGATAGATGTATACTGATGGGCAATATATTATATAAATACACAATAAAATCCAAAGTCACCTCATATGGAAAATAAGCTTATTTTAATTGTCGAAAAAATAAAATTCGTCAGTCTTATTCAACTCCAGTTTAGACTGAGTTCATGTTGGAGTTAGAAATTTAACTGTGAAAGCTAAAAAAAAAAAAAACACCGAAAAACTAATACATACTCTATCCATTTCAATGTTTCAATCAGACAAAAGGCACAAGACAGTGGTCAGGGGAGGGTGGAAATATATTTCTTAAAAGGAACAGGTTTTATAAAATTAAACCTGGATATTAACCTTATGACATTAAATTGGGTTATATGAAGAATGAAATGTTAATTTGAAACTAAGAGAGGAATAAAAAAAAGGGTTTAAAAAAACTTAAGATATGTAGATAAAGTTATGTTTAAAAATACAAAATCTTACTTAAAGGCACTATTGAAAAGATGTTATATTTAAAAAAATATATTTAAATAAGTTACATTTAAAAATAAGTCATATTCAAATAATTTATATTAAAACTAAGTAAGATTATATTTAAAAATAAGTTATATTTAACATAAAATCAATAGGTCATATTAAAGAATAAAATATATTTAGAAATTATAATATAATAAGATAAAATAAATTATACATTTAAAAATAAAAATATAATGAAATAAATAAAAAAATTAACTTTAAAGATAAGTTAAATGTTATGGAAATTTGAATTTGTTAAATATTAACTAATAATTAAATATTAATAAAACATACGTTTATCTTTATTAGCGAATATATTTCTCTAACTCTGATTTTGGACTTTATTCTCTATCAGTTTCT